TCTATCGATCACATTTGATATTTCCTTTCGGTTACGAGTTTTAATTTGTTTTATTTATCGAGAAAAAGTAAGATTAACTTCAATATTATAAAATTTATGTGAACGTGTTATACGTAAAGAAAGAAAGTAAATTAAACATTAATTAATTCCATATAAAATAATTACAAAATGTTAGTGACATATTAACGATACTTATTGATGCTAGAGGCTTGACGATTCTTTTTTTTTTCTGCAAATAAAAATTTTATAATTTTAAAAAACAAGAGATAGAACTTAAACATATATATTGGATCATTATTTAGCGAGAACGGAAACTGTGCAGCAATTTTTAAAAAATTATTTTTTCAAGGATAAAATAACAAACATTCATGTATATTCACTCATACATACTCAACTCTAGGAAAATAAATTTTTTAGATGGAAGAGAGTTGCACAAGGTTGAGTATATAAAAAAAGCAATTTTAAACTTCGACATAACAACTAACTAGCAATTGAGCAATTTTTTGTAGAAATTTTTTTTACTTTGGATTTAGCTACGTTAATTACTAATTAATAAATCTCATTCTTCTTACAAGAGAATTTATCTAGGACTAATTAATTTTGACTAATTTTTTATTTTCTGTCTGTTCCTATTATTCGCATTATTCCCATTTCTTTTAGTAGCAGTGTTTTTTGTTATTATCATTAGTGTCACAAATATCATTCTTTGACCTGAAAACTCAAGAAGGAACTATTCAAATTGCATGATCTGTTTTTTTTTGCATGAGATTATTAAATTTTGTAATAAAAAGATAAATCCACAGAATTCAGAAACGTAGAGCTACAAAACATTATGTTAAATTGCTGAAATAAGTAGATTTGCAGACTATTAAAGAAACTGGAAATTTAACTCTAGAAAGCCGGCCGAATTTTTGATTACCTTCCCGGTCTAACCAGAGTATGTGAAACCCTGCAACTTTGTCACGCTATCTCTCTGGACTGAATACGTATTTTTTAGCTTATAATGTGCAAAATTTATATCTTAAAGTCAGACAAAGACAGATAAATATGAATCAAATAAATAATATTTTATCTTTAATTAATTACAATGCTTCAAAGAAATTTTATTGGAAAAATTTACAAAAAATGACTACTTCGGATGAAAAATTCTCAAATTTTTAAATTTTATGTTTAAGCAAAAAACCGTAGGATTTTTTTAGTTGGTCCTTTGCACTAACAAAAAAAAATAGTACGATATGAATCGCTCAATTGAAAATCGATATTTTTGAAAAATCTACATATTTTAAGTTTACAATTAATAAATAAAATTTTATTATATGAACAATATAAAAGAGTAATAATATAAGTAGATAAAAGATTGTACATGTATAAATATTATTATAGTATATGTAATTAAGTTTATTAGGATTTAGTTTAGAGGATGATGCAACACTAGCTCTAATAAATGCGCCCCGGCTGAGTTCCAAAGACTGACAGAAATTATAAAATTTCTACTATTTATTATATTGAAATATAAGATCATTGGGGGAAAGACGCTACACTTAAGCCTTTATTCTTGAATAACTACTTCTTAATGTTATTGAATTAACGAACGAAAAAATATTATTTATATTCTAGCAACCTTTCTTTATTCATATAAATAAATGAATTAAACTTTTGATGTTCCATATTATTAAAAAAAATTGATATATCATACCCTGTAAAAGTGGCATTTTTCCCCTATATAACATGTTATATGGGTAAGATGTCACCTCCTATGGGAAAAAAAATGTTACAAACAATTAACTTTGGCCAATTATAAGGCTTGATTCTTCTTAACGTGAATGATTCTAGGAAAAATTTGTGAAAACATAGGAAAACCATTATCTATTTTATAAATGGTTAAATGGCAGATACGATTTCATTTCAAATATAAAATGAAACTGATTTTCCAAAAACCATTTAAAATAAAAAATGCAAAATGCCATTTCCATTTTACATACATATTTAAAATGGAATTATTTTAAATATTACCCAGCCCTGGTAATAAGTGAGATCTGACCATAAGAATCAAATAAATTGTAAGAAAGGACTGAGAAAAACACGCCTAAAATATTTACGTAATTTTTATTCAGAGTCACTTGAGTCAATCGATTGACGCCTTTTTTCGACTAGGCTCTCTCTCTCTCTCTCTCTCTCTCTCTTGCTCTCTCTCTTCTCCCCCTCCCCCTTCTTCTTTTTAATAGAACAAATTTAAAGAATAAATAAAATAAAACAAATAGAACCGAAAAAAACCGTTAAAAACCGTAATTTTTACGGTTTCAGTTTTCTTTACTGGTAAAAAAAAACCGAAATTGAAACCGGAACATTTAGTTGATATTTTATTAAACCGGAACTGGAACCGAATCGAAAAAATCTTTCGATCCGAGTCCTTGGCTTTAAGCTATAAGAACACATAAAGGTGATAAAACATAAATTGACAAAATATAAAAGAGAGTAATTTAGGAAATAAGAAGTTGGACATACTTTTATTTGTTTAACAGCATTTCATTAACTTAAAATATTTCGAATTATATAAAGCATCCAAAATTTTAATTCATAAAATTGTTTTAATGACAGCTTCAAGCAGGAAAAATTTTGTTTTGTATTTACTGACATCTTATCCCCAAGTGTAAGAGGAATATTCAATTGCACTTTTACGCATATAAGAATATTATAAATTATAATTTATATCATCCACATGATCTCCAGGGAACACTGATTAAAACCGTGTATCATTTGCCTGGTTTTACAGTAAGCATCGAAATACAGACCTTAGCTATTAGCATACCAAATATTACAAAGAGTATGTATATAAGATATATTTCACGACTTACCTTTTCATATTTCGTATAATTAATATCAATTGACTTTGGCATGAACATGTTCATCTCTGCTGATAACTCCGCAACTGTTTATCATACGCTTTTGTACAGTCAGTATAACCAACATATGTTCTATAGAAAAATTATAAATAAAGTGGCGTTTTCCCTTTTGTGGCATCTTCCCTCGAATTACTTTAATTCTTTTTAGTTCTATATTTTCATTCAATTTACTTTTATACTTATATCCGAAACTCAGTAAACGTATATTTAATAAAAAATAAAGGGATACCCAGAACGCCGGAAACTTATAAATTAGTCACATCTCACATTGAGAATAACACAAAAAGAATATC